GAGATATATATATATATATATAGATATATATATATATATTCCTCTGGTTTTATATATATATAAACAGAGGAATTTAACTAGGGTCAGCCTTGGTCAGTCCTTGGATGGGAGACCGGCAAAGAGAAATCCCAAGTGCTGCATTTCAAGGGAAGGAACTGACAAAACCAACTCTAAGAAAATCCTGGGAAATTCACAACTTGAAGGCTCTCCTCCCATGGAAAAGTCTGAGTGAGAATCACAGGGCTTTCATTCATTTCTTCCCCATTTCCATGCCTACAGCGGTGGAGGACTTTATTTCCCAAAACTAGGGATTTAATTTCAGATAAATAAAATCAGTCACCAGCCTCCAGGATCCTCTTTTTCCCAAGAGGGAGGAAAGTGCAACGAATGGGTTCCTAAATGTCATGCTTAAATGATTGTATCCAATGGAGCCCTGTTTCAAAGCATTTTTGGAATTATTATTGCAAGCAACATTGGCAACAATGTGAACAACAAAATGATTACAAGCAACACTGGCAACAACCACAAAAGCAAGTAACTCTTTGCAGGAAGGACGATGCAAAGGTATGGTCCCAGTCCCAGGGATTGCAGATCCCAGTTTGCAAACTGGTTTTTCCCCCTAAACCAACAGGGCTATATTTCTAGGAGTGTTGCACCATAATGGTGATGATTTTTTAATTTCTTAAAAATGTAGATATTGTGTGTGTGTGTGTGTGTGTAGAGCAATACAGTTCCTTAATGAAAGTTTGGGACCGATGGGAGCTGCAGTCCCAAGGATCTGCCACCCCCTCATCCCCCTTGGGCTGGGGCCGATGGGAGCTGTAGTCCCAGGCAATTTACCGCCAGCAGCCGGGGCCCATCTCTCCCACCAGGGAAAGGCGCCTGGTCCTTACCTGCTGCGGCCGATGGGAGCTGCAGTCCCAGGGCCCTCAAGGCCAGCAACCAAAGCCCAGCTCTCCCACCCAGGAAAGGGGCCTAGCCCTCCTCAGCTGCTGCGGCCGATGGGAGCCGCAGTACCCCAGGGATTGCAATGCTCATCCTCCTTCTTGGACTGGGGCCGATGGGAGCTGTAGTCTCAGGAATTGCAACACCCATTCTCCTCCTTGGGCTGGGGCCGATGGGAGTTGGAGTCCCAAGGATTGCAACACCCATCCTCCTCCTTAGGCTGGGACCTATGGGGGCTGGAGTCTCAGGGATTGCAGCACCCTTTCTCCCCTTTGCACTGGGGCCGATGGGAGTTGGA